AGACAGGGTCGTCCCAATATGCGTTTTTGCAATTTGCATATAGGCAAAAACGCATAAAAAGCGCAATGAATTCTTATCGACTTTTCTAATATTCTTACCCTCTGCTCTTGTCTGTTCTGTTCTGCTCATGCCTGTTGAACCATCCACACATTCGTATTTACATAGCGAACTGAGGTACTGTACTGATGATTCCAGTCCCATTTCGTTGTATTTATCGCTCAGGGATGAAACATAGGCACATCGCTGGAGTATAACAAATACAGGCTGGCTGATATGTGACGCCTGAATGACAGACCGAATTGTTCTGAATAATCAAAACTCGACCATTGCTCTTCTCTCCTCGGTCTACGCACTGCATGTGTCGATTGGGAATCTCAATAGATCGACTATCTCACGCACTTCCTCACTGACCATCCTACATGCGCTTGCACTTATTCACCTTTATTGCGGTTGTCCCTAACATTACCACTTACAGTTCACAAATGTAAATCAGCACTGCACCTGCATTGGTACTACAGAAACCGAATGATTTTTCTGGGTTTGATGAATATTTCTTTATCATTTTTTACACCATCTTTTAAACTGCACAGTCTTGAAGTATCCAGTCGGCGCATTATACAGAACGCATACAATGTTCCCTTGAGCGTCACCTTGGTTCAGCGTTTTCTATGTTTAAAGCTTTGCGTGACAAGCTGACGAACCCTTCAGTATTTGCATGAGGGCATATAAAATGACAGTTCGTCCTGTTTGAGAGCAACTGCACTAACTCGTATTGACGCATGACAGACACAGTTCTTAAACCGTCCAAATGATTGTTCCGAGCTTTTTGTCTGATTTTGCATGAAACTAAAATTATAATTCTCTACCATGCACCACTCTGAATTTATAAAATCGTTTTGAATACGGACGTGAAGTTATACAGCAGTCAGGATTATGAGATGCAACATGATATGACATCATCTGTGCTTGAGAGTTGTCATCCTCTTTTGAATTTAGAGGCCAAAAATTAGGCAGCCGAAATTTATGAGGACAGTGCAAGCACATTAAAGATTTTCATTTCAGCCTTAAACCACATCTAGGGCTCATGTTCGCGCAAGTAAAAGTTCAGTTTGGGGCACTGCTGACACCTATTAGCGTGATAAATAAACTGAGTAGAAAGCTGTATTTTAATATGAATTTTTGCTACCGATGTTTGAGCCTTCACGCATAAATCGAACTTTAGCGTACAGGCGTGAGGAGGCATGCATTGCGCTCGCACGCATCAAATGCTCAATTTGGAAACATTCGATGCTTTTTCGAAATTCGGCTGAAATAATATGGGGAATTAGCTGTTGGTGCGTAGCTCCGATCCACCCGCACACAGACACATGAAAATTTCGTTTGCAAAATAGTCAGCATCCCTTTCTCACGGTGATCAATTTTTTACAATAAGCCTAAATTTAGAGCACTCCATTTCAACTTCCTTTTCTATCCAGTTCACGATTTCAATTTTCTTAATGTTCTTTCCATACAAGCGTCTCTTACTCAAGATTTCTACGTTACTATTTCTGAATTCAGAAATTGCAGATCTTAGAAGCATTACTCTCCATTAAACACACCGGCGGAAGTACTTCGGCAGTAAGTGGTGTTAATCTGGCAGTCGGAGAAATGCGAAAAACAGGCAGAAAAGGCGCCAGGTTCGTGTATATTTTATCAAAACCGCATACGTTGTTTAGTGCGCATCGCTTTTAAATTATTCTTGCAGACCAATTCTAGGAAAAATGATGTGCACTAAACAGCATGTCTGGCCGTGCGTTTTGCGAATAGCTATTGCGTATAGCTAGCAAATAGGACGACCAAAGTGATAACAGGTGGTTTGCATAACGAAATTCCACTTCATTCCTGACCGGTCTAGCTCAAAAAAGTCAAAATTTAAACCAGCAGCCTACATCTGAACTCACTGACATAAATCACGAAGCAGCCGATTTTCAAATTTTGTCCTGTTAGTGCTTTACGACTGTAAGCCTTCCAAAGAATTTTGATTTGTGCCCCGAGAGGAAATGTAGTGACGAGTCAGGCATATCGACTGTACGGTGGTGATAGATCGATCAAGACTATAAATGCCTCATTGCGAATCTTCTTCTTTTCGCAAAATAGGCCGGGAACTTTGATTCTAGCAGTCGGGTTGAAGGTCAGCAGCTACAAAAATATCGCAGAGAAAACACACGAAAGGGAATAAAATTCGAAACATCGCAAAGATGCCAGGGTGAACTGGAGGAATTACTGGAGAATTTCAGTAGTTGGGCGGAAAATAGCCGCCATCTGAAAGAATCAGATTCAGAGGATGTGCAGTGATGAACTGCTTTTATGCAATCTCACGAGGGCTGCGTTTATAAGTAATAAAGAATGTTGGATCACCGACCGGACATAATACGACATGTCAGATCATAGATCCCTCGGGATCAAGCGGTTAGCTTAACTGCGCCTGAAATGCGGTAGTATCCAAGAAACACTCAGTAACAAGGAATATCCACGCCGATTATTCCGGTGGCCTTGAAATTCTTGAAATATTTATACCGAAACAATTCAGATAGCGACGGACCAGGCTTGTTGGGGCGATCATACGTTTTTGCTGATCCTGCTCAATGATAGCCTGTGCGAGTTGAATGAGACTGTAGTGCTGCAATATGAAAATTTGATGAGGCTGTACGCAATTCCATACTCACTTTACCTGACTTGCACAACAACAGGATAATACTTCCTGATCAGTCCTAATACCGAGTTAACTGGGTGTCAGCAGTGTCCCGATCTAAACATTCACTTGTGTGCACGTATGGTTAGACATGCTCTAGAGCTAAATTTGAAATATTTAGGTCTCACACTGGCATAGAATATCCTCGTAAAGTGCTAACTTCCTGGCTTGACTGGTTGGCGAAATTGCTTTTCGTTGCAAATATCTTTGACGCGTTCGCACACACAGCACAGGCCTATGCTAAAGCTCATCTTATGTCTACATGCCTAGGTATGAAAAATAAATGTTCCCGTAAAGTGAACACGCTCTAATTATTTCATATCCTGAATTGATGTCTTGCTAGTGATGACGAAATCTTAAATTTGATGCGTCTGTATATGTGATATAGGCGTTTGCTAAAGCTAAATTTGAAATCTTATTAACTTATACAATAACATGGGACGTCTCTGTGGAAGACATAGAATACCCTCAAGGTATGCAAACACACAAATACACGTAAACACAAATACACAACGACAACTTCTCGACAGCGTGTTTTTTTGCATTTGCCAAAACTTGCGTTTTACTGCGGTGTTAATCTACCCCACAACAGAAGCTTTGCAGAAGAATGATTGTTCTGATATCGGACGGTAACAGTCAGGATCGGTGGGAAGAGCTGCTCGCTGCTGCTGATCGTCTTCGAGCAACAGACGCCAATGTTTATGCCGTTACGGCCAGTCATGATTATTACTTCAGGTAAAATAAATCTAATATGATCTAGAGGAACGAAGAACTGCTTCTAAGATGTTGTATTTCTGTATCTGCGGGTTCCGTGACATATTTGTGCGCACGCGCATGTGTCAGTGTATGTGCTAAGCACCACTAGACATCCATGCGATTCTAAGAACAGCATGCCTATGTGTTTATTTGTTTCTGTATATACTTCTTATATATTTCTTTGGACATTCGTTGGCCTAGATGTGTTATCTGTACTGGCGAATCGCGCCTCTTAGTCACACTGGATAAAAAAAAATTTCTTCAGAGAATTAGAGCTTTATGCGGGCAGTAAATGGCTTGTTTATGTTGATGCTCGTAAGCGGCA